CGCAGTGCGGCGTCTATTGTGGGGTTCAGTTGTGCCCCAATGTATGCTATTTTTGTAGGGTCCGTTGGGTGGACCTGGAATTTGACTATTTCGTCTGCTGGTTTGAAAGAGGTGGACTTGGGTTATTTGCCGAGTATCACGTTGTCCCTGTCCACTGTGGAGCGCAGCGCGATTAGTTCTTCGACTGCGAGGGCTTCGGATAATGCCTCAAGGGCCAGTGCGGTAGTTTTATTTTCGGTGCGGAGTGCTATGTCCGGATCACTAGCTAGAGTGATGATTCCATTGGGCCCGAGCATCTTGAGCTTCATGTACCCGTAATGGGGTATAGCTTGGAAGCTCGTGAATGCATCCCGCCCTAAACGTGGCCACTTGGAATATGATTTCTTCGGACCTATAATTCTCCAGCGTGCCGAATACCACATGTAGTGTGATTTTTCCCACACATCGTGCCTCCCGACTAGGGATGATTCCCCTGAAGGTCGTGCTGCTTTGCTCAATGCGGCTCTTATCTATTTCCATCTTGTTAAGAGTCTCTTCGTAGATGAGGTTTAATCTGTCGCCGCCGTCCATGAGCACTTTAGTAAGCCGGAAGCCGTCCACAATTGGACTAAGGACCAAAGCGGTTGGCCCAAAATGTTCAGAATTGGGGTTCGTCACTGGCATTGAAGGTTATAGCCGTGTCGTTCCATGGATTTGTTGCTGCAACGTGGTAGACTTCGGTGAGGCTGCGGAGTGCTTGCTTGCGCCTATTATTTGAGGCGAAAGTCTCGAAGACTGTCAATACTGTATTGTTATTTTCGGCGGGAAGGTGCTCTGCGGTATGGTTGATGAGGAGATCCTCGCCGCTCTTGGCCACCTACCGGAGTATCCAACATGCTCTAAGGCTGTGTGTTAGTATGGTATCCGGTGTACTGTGAATTTTGCATGGCCCATTGAGCCATCCCTCCAATACGGTTCCACGCCCTGTAGCGGGCCTTGTTTTTTTTGTAATTGGATCGGGTGACTTGTGAGGGTACACCCTTT